TTTTCAATCTATAGCAATCGTGCTTATATAGTCTAAACATTCAAGATCTCAACTGGTCACTTTACCATTAGACAGATGCTTCATTGGAAGAAACTAATGTTTTGGGTGTAACATGCAGGAAGGAAACCACAAACCTTGGAAGAAACAGGCAAGATCGGGGGAGGTTATAACTCCTTTATGCAAACTTCCTTACCGGAGAAGTTAAGAGGCTACAATCCGGCAGAGGAAACTGTAGATTCCGCTCATGTTGCTTTCACAACAGCGTTCCCCAGAGGGTTTGCTCTGGAGGTTCTCCAGGTGTATTCAGGGCCTCCAGTGATTGTATACAAATTCAGGCACTGGGCATATATGGAAGGTCCTTTCAAAGGGCATGCCCCAACCGGAGAGCTAGTAGAAGTCTTTGGAATGTCAATTCTCCACGTACATATATACCATTTATGTCAAATTCATTTCTTTCTTCTTCCTCTCTCTTCTTTGGTACAGACTAATTCTTATTCTCTGTTCTAACAGGTGGATGAAGACATGAAGATCCTGAAAGTAGAGTTCTTCTTAGACCGTGGAGAATTACTTGGAGGTCTCATGAAGGGTGCTATCTTGGGTGGAGGGTCTGAAGAGGTGACTTTGAACTGCCCTTTCTTGAGGAACACTGGATAGAGAAAATGCTTTCCATAGCCAAAATAGATTTCAGTACTCATGCTTGTATTCCCACCCTGTTGAAATTTCAGGATGAAACTCAAGTACCTTTCTTAAGTTTTCTTCCTAAATAAATGTATTTCTGATGTTCTACCATATCTGAGGAAATAAGATTTTACTTTGTTGTTCTGGACCTTAATTTGAACGCATTCAATGAGATATCACCTACAACCATGAAATTGCTAATGCAGATGCATTTGAGGGTAATATTTAAAGACAATTAGATTAGTAGCAGTAAATTCAAAGGTCCAAACAACTGCAGCAAACAGTGGAGACAATTTCAGCTTTCCCTTTTCTATTAATTGGGTGAAAGAAATATCATTTAACAAGATTATGAAGTCAAGCATCAATTTTCGTGTGTTTTGATTGTGGCTATACACTGCCAAGATAATAAGAAATTAGCTGAAAAATCAGAATATTGTCATTTTTTTTCTCCATGGTTTGGTTTCAAGAGAAGGGAAAATTATGTATGAGCAAAACTAATTTAATTTTTTTAAATGATTTTGTTGTTAATTTAATGATTTGCTTTTAAATCTCAGTTGTTTTTTTTTGGTTGACATTGATAAGTTAGTTTAATGAGTAGTGATACCTAGGATGAAAAGGGAATGAAAATTTAAGACGAATGACATGATATAAGTTAAATAATTAAATAAATTGATATATATATAATATCACAAATTCTAATAAAATGAAAAGAATTAATTATTAAATAATATAATATCTAATTTTTAATATTTTAAATAATATAACTTATGCTAAATTATTGATTCAAAATTTTAATCTCATTTGTCATTATTTTAGTTTAATAGGATTTTTTTGGGCAAATTTTGATAAGATAATCAATTAATCGGAGAGTGGCACATTTTGTGAATTTGAAGCAATGTGTACGTTATTTAAGGAGTAAAATTATTCTTTTATTTTATTTTGAAATGGTTCCACTTCCCTTGTCACCCAACAAAAAGACCATGCAATGGCTACATGTAACTCTACTTTAATGAAGGCTCCGTTAGTTGTTGATGGAATAATGATGTCATCCGTCAAGGAAGGGCTCATTTGCCACTGTCAAAGGCTTCAGGGGGCTGGATGTTGCTGAAATTGATTTAGGGGTTAATATGCCACCAATGGACAAGTTGAAGGGTTGCTTTGCATGATTTGCCTATTAAAAATAATTGATAATTATAAAATAACTAATATTTATTATATAATAGATTAAAATAAATTTATAAATTAATATTTTTAGATATCATAATCAATTATTTAAAAAAAAAACTACAAACTAATAAAATATTAATTAAACTAAATAATTTTTAAGTAATCTTAATAAAACAATAGGAGATCATAACTACATGCATATATGATGTATCCACTCCTGCTACCTCAATTGCAAACAAATTACTACAAAAAGAATCCATTTGGCAATTACATCATAGTTTAACTCTTTGCTATCATGTGGCATTCGGGTGTGGTTGTGATCAAGAGGTTCATCTAAATCATTTTAATCTGAATCATTAATCTGAACTTACAAAAAAGGGAAAAAATTGCTTGAATTTGATTATGTAAACATGGATGCCCCTTGCTTGATTCATACGTTTCTCATCAGTCTAACTACAGCAGATATTAGAATTATAAATCCAAGTTTCATCCTTCATAACATTACCAAACCACTCTTTTTTTTTTTTTTTTTTTTTTTTTAGGTCTTCATAAATTTTAGAAATATTGAAGATTAAAATAAAAAATCTAATGTAATATTATAATCTCGATATGAGAATTTATCAGTCATATCAATAAGCAAAAATATCTCATTTTTTTAATTAATTTTCATTAAAAAAAAAAAAAACGAAAAGAGACTAAAATATAGCCAACCTGCAACCAACTCTACTATCATTGGTGGAGCCTTTATCCTTACACGAGAAAGGTACAAATTTGAAAATACTGGATTTTCTCTTTTGCCAAGGGTTGCTTGCTGTTGTATGTCTTAATCCAAAAAGTTTAATGTCAATTCATCCTGTCTTTTTACCTGGTCAACAGATACACAACTGTCAGTCAATAGTTCATCACGTGTGTTTGAATATTCTCAATGGCAGCTTGAGTTTCTCTATTTAAAAAGGCTCACCCATTTGTGGAGCATCAAAACCTGTGCAGGAACTTTAGTTGTTCTTGTTTTCTGTGATAATAATGGCGTCTTCGAGTGTTGAGGGAGACAAGTATCGTTCCTTCATACATGGAGAAGGGGAAAAGAACACCAAGTGGAGATATGGTGCTCCTCCTAACTATGATGTTGTCAACAAGCTCTTTGAAGAAGGCAGAACTAAGGTTTGAGGTTTCTCCTCACCTTCATCGTCATGCTTTCTGTTAGTTTTTCTATACAAAAAAGTGTTTGCTGGACTCTTTTCTATATATCCCCGAATTTAAGTTTGTATGCTTTGTTGATTGCAGAGAAAAAGTTTGAATCTTTCGCTCAAAGTAATTGAGTATCAATTCAAGTTTCAATATATAAATTTGTTGTTTGTCCATAACAGATATGGCCTCCTGGATCACTTGAAGAAAAAGTTCAGAACCTTGTCAAGACATGGGAAATGGAAGTGTTCCATAAGGCATGTTTTGATGACTGCAAGACGGTGGTCGATCCAAAGATTTTTACTAGTAGTGTCAATGGTATCTTTTCTTTTTTATTTTTACCATTTGAAATTTGCCCAATTAATTGCTTTGAGTCCAGGGTATGTTTGGTTTATGAGAAATAGAGGGGAATGGAAGGGGAAGGGAGGATCTCCATTTAAAAAAGTAAAGGAATTAAAAGAAAAATGAAGTAAATAATTTCTTCTTTCAATTTTTTTAATTAAAGAAAAAAATTTTCTCATTTCCCCTCTTTTCTCAAACTAAACATACAAATTTCAGAACCTTTTATTTATTTATTTATTTATTTTCAATCTATAGCAATCGTGCTTATATAGTCTAAACATTCAAGATCTCAACTGGTCACTTTACCATTAGACAAATGCTTTATTGGCAGAAACTAATGCTTTGGGTGTAATCTGTAGGAAGGAAACCACTAACCTTGGAAGAAAAGCGCAAGATCGGGGGAGGTTATAACAACTTTATGCAAACTTCCTTACCGGAGAAGTTAAGAGGCTACAATCCGGCAGAGGAAACTGTAGATTCTGCTCATGTTGCTTTCACAACAGCGTTCCCCAGAGGGTTTGCTCTGGAGGTTCTCCAGGTGTATTCAGGGCCTCCAGTGATTGTATACAAATTCAGACACTGGGCATATATGGAAGGTCCTTTCAAAGGCCATGCTCCAACTGGAGAACTAGTAGAAGTCTTTGGAATGTCGATTTTCCATGTAAAAATATACCATTTATGTCAAATTCATTTCTTTCTTCCTTTCTCTTCTTTGGTACAAACTAATTCTTATTCTCTGTGCAAACAGGTGAATGAAGACATGAAGGTCCTGAAAGTAGAGTTCTTCTTAGACCGTGGAGAATTACTTGGAGGTCTCATGAAGGGTGCTATCTCGAGTGAAGGGTCTGAAAAGGTGACTTTGAGCTGCCCTTTCTTGAGGAACACTGGATAGAGAAAATGTTTTCCATAGCCAAAATATATTTCAGTATTCATGCTTGTATTCCCACCCTGTTGAAACTTCAGGATGAAGCTCAAGGACCTTTCTTGAGTTTTCTTCCTAAAGAAATGTATTTCTGATGTTCTACCATATCTGAGGAAATAAGATTATTATCATATCGCATTGGCATGTGGTTGTGATCAAGTTCTTCTTTTAAATCATTTTAGTCACAGTCTGACTACAGCATATGTTAAAATTTTAATTCCAAGTTAATTAATTTTTTCATTGAAATCATCACCGACCCACTCTATTTTATTTATTTGAGTTTTGCTTAACTAGTGCAGTTACTAACTGCAAGAGTTGAATAGATTGATATTAATAAATAGGAGACATTTTTTAAATTAAATTTATGATTTGAATTTTAAAATAAATACTTAAAAAAATTACTTTTTTAAATACATTAAGTTAATATAAAAGATGCATTATTAAAATCTAATAGTTCTGAAATGTAAAAAAAAAAATTAACTCAAGAACACTTCAACAATAAATTAAAAAAAAAAAATTACTTGCACTTAGTATGTGTGCAATATGTTCCAATATTACTCTGTGTGAGCATTACAAATGTCAGTCAACGGTTCATCACAATCACATATTACAATGTTTGAATATTCTCAATGGCAGCCCCAGCCAGACTTTCTCTATAAAAATCTCTATTGAGAAACATCAAAACCTGTGCAGGAACTCTAGTTGTTCTTATTTTCTGTGATAATAATGGC